TATATATATATATATATATATATATATATATATATATATATATATAAAATTTTGTATTTTGTAAACACCCCACGCATTCGTTCGAGGTATTTCGCATTCCACATAACAGCTTAATCCTTCTCTCCATATTGAGCAGGATATACTAGAGAATGACCAGATAAAACTCGATCACGTGTTCAAAAGATCATTGGTACACGATATCGTCCGCGGCATGGCCTATCTCCATACGTCGGAGGTGAAGAGTCACGGTAATCTCAAATCCTCGAATTGCGTCGTTGATTCGCGATTCGTCCTGAAAATCGCCGACTTCGGCTTGCACGAGCTCCGCAGGTCAAGCGCGACGGACACGGACATGGACAAGAACAGCTACGCCTACTGGAGAAGTACGTGTTCACTAATTAATGCATTAATTTATACGCTGGCGTTCTCGCGCGACGTTATTTTTCTAAGGATTGCGCGACGTTATTTTTCTAAGGATCGTAGAGTCGCGGCATGAAATATTTTCCGAGCGCGCGGAAGAGAAGCGAACGAAGACGTAGATAACGTTCAAAGTAAACACAGAAAATTCGCGAATGTACTATTTCGACGGTAGTTTTAGCACGCGCGCGTGCACATACGCGTGGAGAAAATATTTATTCAGCTGACGATTTATAGAAATTTAATTAACGACGCGACATGAAGCGCGACGGGAAGAATGAAGTCGCATATCCCGATTACGTTCTTTTAGAGCGGAAAATTTGGTGTTTGCAGAACAGCTGTGGACAGCTCCAGAGCTGCTGCGAATGGAAAGACGACCGCCCGAGGGTACTCAGAAAGGCGACGTGTATAGCTTCGCTATCATCGTTCACGAGATCGTGATGCGCCAAGGGCCATTCTACCTGGGGGACAATAACAATCTATCTCCTAAGGGTAAGCCTTTAACATTATTCCGAATATAATCGTGGACAACGTGTAATTGCTTGTTGGTTGCGTTTCATTCGGCACGACGCCGACGACAAAGACATTTCGCGAGTTCGCCTCGCGCGTTACTCGCTTCTCGGTATACGTAACTGGACTTGTAGTTAGCTTAACAAGCAGAAATGCAAACTTGGAAGTTACGCGTAACTTTATCTCTATTATTCGGGAACACTCAGAAAAATAGTCTTGCGAAGCGAAAATTATCTAGATATAAGAAATTCGCTAAGATGGATTAATGACTAGCTAACACTGCGATATCGCACACGTGTTGCATTTAATCACTATAGTTAACAGAGACATAATTTATATGCAAATCGTTTGTCTATTTACTTAGCGAGAAAATCTCTTTGCGACACCCATGCAGATTAAGACCAGTCACGCCTTTAATTAAAAATTGAAACTTTTTATAAAAAAAAATATTCTTATTAATAAACGAGACATAAATTTTGCTGCATAGATTGCTAGAATGTGTTTGCTATAAATTCTACGTATCATTGTCTAACAGGTACAAAAAATAGTGATACATTTTAGCTGTTACATTTAGAATTCTAGTTAAATCAGCGAAACATTTTTTTGAGCAAACGAAGATGAGCGACGTACGATCGATGAAACGAGTATTTTTTCTGTCGAAAGATTCACTTTTCAACGATGAAATTTATCGTCAGGTACGTAAGGACTATTATTCCTCGCTTGTACGTAAGGACTATTATTCCTCTCTTGTACGATCGCGCTGCCGAGGGATGAAAAGTTCGGCCGACCTGGCATTGAGTTGTGCTACTGGAAAATAAAAATCTTTCCTGGCGCGTGTTAAAGAACTTTTCGGAATGGGTTTCGAAGTTATTCCATTATTCCCCAGATTTCTATTGTTTTTTCCAGGAAAAACGAAATTTATTCCGTTCGGAATCGATCCCGAAGAGTTCTATACGTGCCTATAGAACCGAAGTAGTTGAAAAAAGTATATTTACATGAAAAGAAAAGTTTAATTGTATTAACATGAAGTTTGTGACGAGCGAACCAATATTTTTTGGTTGAAGTAAACGAAATTTCTTGTTCCTAGAATCAAATTTGGAACCACACAAATTCTGTATCTCTCGACTGAAACGCGTTCATTAAAGCCAAACTTCACACTAGTACAATAATTTTTTATCTCCATGCAAAATCGACGAAAACCTATAACATATGCAAGAACTTAAAATATTTAGATACTCTCCTCACTTAAAAAATCAATTGCTTGAACGAGCATTTCTGCTTGCTGATAAACAAAGTTCCTCCAGCGTTTTACCGGCCGTCGAGCTAGTATCGTCGCTTCCTCGAGCTTTCCCAAGGAACTCTCTCGAAGCGACGAGCTTGCAAGCGCGGTTTGATCGACGGATGGCTCTAAAGCAACAAAAATGCGTCAGCAGTCTGACATACCTCTATCGGGCTCGAGTGAAGTATCATCGCTCGGTGAATATCGATTTCACGCTGGCGACTCAAGCTTTACCGTCGCGACCGGTAACAGAGTTCTCGCAAGCTCGCAAGCTTCCCGGAATCGATCGCAGCACAGAATGTGTTCCGTAGGAGCGTGCCGAAGCGGCGGTCCAAAGCTCAGTCGAAGCTTTCACGCGTCCTGGAACGCACATGGCTTTCGCGCGCGCTCCGCCGATTCTCCTCGATATCGCCGCCTCTCTTTATCTTTCCCCTTCTTACCACAGTTCGCGTGTTCGCACATAAACACACACCCTCGAGACGGCGACACGTGAATTCGGCGGGCATCACTTATGCCCGCGATTACGGCCTAATAACGGCTACCGAGTCGTAGGTATCGTTGTTTAAAAGCCGGAAGAGAAATCTTTCGTCCAGCAAACCCGACGGCAATGTGCGTGCATACGACGTTGCGTGCGCGCGCGCGCGCTTATGTGTGTGTGTGTGCGTGTTCTCTTTCTCTCTTTCCTTTCTTGTTGCTTTTATACTTAACGTGTAATCACGCGAACCTCGCAACCTTCCGGTACGTTCTCGCAGATTGATCTCGCACGATTTACCAGCGTTAATTGTCGCACGGCGCGGTATCGATTTTGAGTGCGAAAACAAAGTTCGCCGCGCGGGTCGACGCACCTTCGTATAATATGCGCGGCTTTGACAGGCGCGCGGAAGTAATTACCGTCGCATCACGGAATGTCAAGAAAACGCGCACGGAAGTAGTGCTCGGCGGTTGTGTTGGCGGAAAAGGGTCCCTGACCGTGTTAGTAATCTCCCGCTGGAGAAAAAGTAGATCTCTGACTGTGTTAGAATTTCTCTCTCTCTCTCGTTACGGGAATTAAGTCCGAGAAAGTGTTGAAGGGAAACGTCTGGAAGGATATATATATAT